TTTTAAACATTTGCCGCCCGGCCTATAGCCGTTTGGCGGCTGCAAAAATGCATTAGCTTTCCGGGGTGTGCGCCATTTGGCATCCTCCTGCACATGCGCAGTTCGCACGGTTGCAGAGCCGCGCAGCGGCGCGATCTGTCACCGGCCGTGTACCTCAGACACGGCCGATGACAGATCTGAGTGCCGGCCCCTGTTGCTGGTACCATGTGACCTGCTGTGACCAATCACAGCAGGTCACATGACAGTTGTATACAATGGATGGCTTCATTCATGCCATCCATTGTATACTAGTGTCTAGCTGTGAATGGTTACAGGTAATCACATGCACATGTCATGTGATTAGCTGTGGCCAAATCACAGCTAAGCACAAAAAAAAAAAAAAAACCTGAATGAATCGATGTCATTCAGGTAAATGTTTGCTTATAGCAAAGTAATTCTTTGCTATAAGCAAATTGTGTAAAAAAAAAAAAAATACTGATCACTTCCCCAAAGTAGTACAATGTTACTATGGTAACATTGTACTACTTTGGTCATAGTAAAATCTTAAAAAAAAATCTTAAAAAAAATAAAAAAAATTTAATAAAAAATTAAAAATAACAAAAAAATTAAAAAAAATAAAATATATATATTTTTTTTTCATACTGTCACCAGTCAGTGTCCCTGTTTGCCACCATGCCAGTTATATGATGACGCTGTACTGCACTGGTGACAGTATGTAAAAAAAAAAAATTGTGAAAATAATTTTTTTAATTTTTCCATTTTCCGAAAAATTATGACAAAAAAATACAACTTCAAAAAACTTGCCATTCCTCTTATGAAGTACGTCGGACTGTCTACTCTGCAAAAAGGGGTCATTTGGGGGATATCTGTACTGTTCTGACATTCTTGGACCTCAAGAAATTAGATTGGCTGTCAGTACTTCAGGATTGATCAATATTCAGATATATCCCATAGTTTGTGAACTCTATAACCTTCCTACAAACTAAATAATACATTCTAATTTGGGTTATTTTCACCAAAGACATGTAGCAGAATACATCTTGGCCTAAATTTATGAAGAACAATTATTTATTTGTAAACTTTTATAACAGAAACAAAGAAAAACGTGTTTTTTTTTTCAAAACTTTTGGTCTTTTTTTGTTAATTTAGCAAAAAAATAAAAACCTCAGCGGTGATTAAATACCACCAAAAGAAAGCTCTAGTTGTGTGAAGAAAATTATAACATTTTAGTTTGGGTAGAATTTTGTATGACTGCGCAATTGTCATTCAAAGTGTGAGAGCGCTGAAACATGAAAAATGGCCTGGGCAGGAAGGTGTAAAATTGCCAGGTATTGAATTGGTTAAATCTCATGTGCAAAAAACTCCTATACCAATTTTCAGAAGCTGAATATTAGTAGCCTACCTTATATAGAGGCTAATAAGTGGGGAATCCTTTGTGCATGGCATAAGTAACTGAGGATAATCCGCACAAATCTTTTTGAACATCAAAGTAGTTACCTGAGAGGTAGGAACTTCAAATGAGTGTGACTTTCTGTCCCAATAAGACATTTTCTGGAGCTTGTCCTTTAAACTGGCTGATGTTGTCCCATTGGTGGCCTCATCTTTCCTGAGAACTAAACTTGGCAGGTTTCCAGTGCTCACTGCCTTCCTTACAGGGGAATGAGTTACAGATAGTCCCACAGCATTGCCCTGTAACACTGGAAGTGAGGAAAGGGCACTTCTTTCTTTTATGATGTATGGAGATTCCGTTTCATTAACTCTTGAACGTCTTTTGGCAGCAACCAAAGAAATGCTCCTTGTACCAGCCACTATCTCTTCCAAAACATCTGGGCTTAGCTGAAAGACTGATAGTGAGTGTCTCTGACTATCATCCAGGGATGGGAGTGAAGTCTGGTTGGTGTTTCTTCTTTAGGAGGATCAATTATAATAAATCTATTTCAAAAATGAGTCTATTAGTCAAGGCAAATATGCACATTTATCTAGGGCTGTTTAAATAAAAAGTCTTTGTACTCTAGAACTAGGAACAAACCAACTTACTTATCAGTTGATTTGCTAAAATAGAGCATATCTACCCCTCATTCTCTACCCCTTGTGCCATAAAAATATTGGCATATACAAAATACGGCATTCAAATCAAATATTGAGAAGAAAAAAATGTTAGGGAGCAATGTTTCTGGACTTACAAAAGAACACTTCAAAACTCCCAAAACATTGGCTCTTTTTCACTGTAAATCCCAAGCTTTTGAGCCTTTAAAGTGTTGTCAGTCTTTCCTATATACTTATGCAGGGTGCAGATAAGGGGTAGAGATAGCCCTGCTTTACCAGGCCTCATCATTTCAGTACTGAACCCAGGGGCAGAAAGAAGACTCTTTAAATATCTTTGAGTGCATTTATAGTAATGCCATAGACCATGGCTGTGGCTCCCAGCAATTAAATAAATGTTCTTGGGGCCCCATCAGTTCAGTAGCAGGGGCCAGGTGCAGAGAGGGACCTATTTACTCACTTTTGGGAGCAGGCAGAGGCCAAGACTCTTGACAAATTAAGCACCAGCTATATCAATCTGTTGTAGCCACAGCATGGAAGATTACTTTGCCTGCTTCCAAAAATGAGTAAATGGTCTCCTCTCTGTTCCCAGCCCCTGGGAACCATACACAAAAAAAAAAAAATCCACCAAAAACTCCCAATTGTAAATCTATTGCCAATCACGATGCCCACCACCCACTGACTTAAACTGTCATCACCTATATAAGGGAAGGGGCAGGAATAGTGGTGACACCAATATCAGTGGCCATACTTGAACAGGTCACTGCTATCCCCACCCCTTCGCTTACGTGGTAGGGGATTCCTGGCCATGTAAGTGAATGTTCCAGTGATGTCAGGGGTTGCTAGGAATGTGGCGATACATGTATTGCAATATTCTCTAATGAAATGGGGTATAGATATTAATAATCTACAACTAAATGACCCCTTTTTTACAAAGTACATTGTCTTCTTCCATGTTAAAGTGACTCTAAATGCAGTTTTTTTTTTAAAACAAAAATGTTATACTTACCTGCTCTGTGCAATGGTTTTGCATACAGCAGCTCAGTTCCTCCTTTTCTGGGGTCCCCACCGACACACCTGGCTCCTCCTGCCATCTGAGTGCCTGCTCTGGAGGCATTCGTGCATGCTCACTCCCAAGCCGGCTCTGTGTGTCTATTTATATACAGAGCGTGGTTTGGACCCACCTCCAGCTCTTTCCTCACTGGCTGTGATTGGCTCCTACTACTGCCTCTCTGTCCAGTGAGGGGGGAGAGAGAGAGCCGAGAGAACTGCTTCTCTTGTGTACAGCACTGGATCGAGATCAGGCTTAGGTAAGTAGTTAGGGAGGGAGTGCCGGCGAGCAGCATGCTAAAGGTTTTTTCCTTAAAGTGGTTGTAAAGGCTGAATGTTTTTACCTTCATGCATTCTATAGATGAAGGTAAAAACCTTTTGTGTGTAGCATCCCCTCCAGCTCCCCGTAATACTCACCTAAGCCCCCTCTCGATCCAGCCGCTAACCCAGGACTCTCCCTCTTCTCATTGGTTGGCCAATGGTTCCCACTGCTGTCAATCACAGTAAGTGAACCAATGAGAAAAGAGAATCACTTTAATTCATAGAATGCATTAAGGTAAAAAAAAAAACCTGTATCTTTAAACCCACTTTAAATCTGGAGGGCATAAAAAATAGACAGATAATTTTCAAACCCTAAAAAAAATAATGATCTTGGCTTTAGAAATTCTAAACATTTAAAACTCCAAATTTAAAGTAGATACACACTTCTCTCAAAATTCTTTGAATTTATAAACACTGATAGATTAACTATACCATTGTCCTTACAGGACTTCAGATAGCAAGGAAAGGTTTTCATTGCAGTACATTAATCGATGTAAATTGTCACCTGACTCCAGAGACATTTCAGAACTGTACAATAGCAGAGCTTTTCAGTTGATTGCAATTTTCCTACCCTAGGCACACATTAATCATTCAGCTTCCATCCATTTTCTAGAGAACTGTCTTATGTCTTTTTAACTTTAAAAAGGACATTCACAATGCACTATTTTAAGCTTCACTGCTTATATATAGAAATCACAATAGTACAGTTCTACAACCTACAGAGAAAAAATAGATGAGTTGGTCTTAAAGTAGTACCCTGTTTCCCCGAAAATAAGACCTAGTACTATTTTTGGGAATTGCTAAAGTATAAGATCTACTCTGAAAAGACCTAGTTGTGATCAGGGCTTTTTTTTGCAGCTGGAACGTGGCGGAACTCTGCTCCGCCACCTCCGGCACTGGCCTGTGCACACCAATATCTACTGTCTCTTATAAATACAGAAGTGCGGCTTTTGTGTTTGCAAGTGACAGCACCCAAGGAACAGATATCTGCGGGCGCAGTGTGCAGTGCGTTTAGGGATGGTGCGGAGAATCTAGTCCTGCAGCCTAATGCATGGAAACCAATGCCCCAGAGGTGATCACCGGCCAGTGGGGAAGAGGCAGAGCGGTGAGTGAGTGCGCTTGGTGCACCATGTGGGAAGATAGGACTCAAAATGGGAATTACTATAGAGAGGGGCTGGCTGCTGACAGCTTCGTTTTGCAAAGCTAGCTAACCCTATGAGGACAGTAGAGGGGGAGGGGGATGTACAAAGGTGAGCTGCAGTCAGGTGTTGCAAAGGTAAATTGACAGGTGAGTTGCAGACAGGGTGCATAGGTGAGCTACGGCTGGGTGAGCTGAGTTGCAACCAGGGGCGGACTGACCATTCGAGCACTCGGGCACTGCCCGAGGTCAGTAGGGAGCCCCAAGAAATGCCCCTGGTACCTTTTTTATAGGCTTTTTTGAGTGTGGGCAAGGACACAGGGGCCCCATGATCCCCTAGGGGGCCCCATGAGTTGTCAGTCTGCCCCTGGTTGCAACCCACCTCTGCACCCCCCAGCCACAGCTCAGCTCTGCACCCCTTGGCCACAGCTTGCCTCTACACCCCCAGCCACAGCTCATCTCTGCATCACCTGTCCGCAACTCACCCCTGCCTGTGGCTCATCTCTGCACCCTGTCTGAAACTCACCGGTCAATTCAGCTCTGCAACACCTGACTGCACCTCACAACTGTCATCAGCCGGCTCCCTCTATAGTAACCCTCATCCACAACTGCCTGCAGCTCACCTCTGCACCCCCTGTCCACACCTGAACATTAAAAAAATAAGACCTACCCCGAAAATAAGACCTAGTGTGTTTTTTTTTTAGCCAAAAAAAATATAAGACAGTGTCTTATTTTTGGGGAGACGGTATAATCATGGCATGGCGATGGGAGCTATGGCACAGGTACTGAAGTAGGACTGTGCCGATACATTACTTTTGTTTTTTCTCAAGGTCCTTTCACATAAGGGTACACAACTCACCTCAGTACTGTCAGCCTGTGTTGGTGCCCTGAGATGGTGAAATGGTGTCAGAAGGCTTAAAGAAGAATTCTGTCTTGCTGGTATTAATCCTGGAGTGGATTTGCAAGTTCTGTAGCCACTGGAAAAAATAGATTTACATAACATGTATTGTAGATCTATTGTTATATAATTACTGTATAGCGCTAGAATATGCACCCTTACATGTATATGTGGTTGGGTGTTGCTTGAAATGTGACCCCATGGTAATACAACAGTATGTACAGAGTTTCAGGGTGACACCAAAATGACTGCAATGTCAAAGACCAACATACTATATATTCAGATAGCATATAGCAGTTTTTTTAGGTTTTTCTCAACAAGGGGGCATGGGCCTGTATTTTTTACCCATAACGTCTTTGAGCTCTTAAATCATACTAGTGCACACGGCTGACATTTCTTTTATTTCTGACATGTTTATAGAAAAAATATAAAAGTAGAAGGTAAAATTTACAGCTGAAAGGACACTGTGAATGTTTGTCTCCTGACTTGCAGATACCTTGTGACTAGCAGAAATTGGGAAAGATCCGTACATTTCCTGCTGGGACAGTGTCAAGGAGCACAAACGGATCAGGCAACATCTGAAACTTTTAAAAACAGCCAGAAATTGGTTGGGGAGGCAGAGGGAAGGCTCACAGTTACTATAATGTTTTGACATCACTATACATCAGGGGAGTATTCAGGTGCCCTTAGAACAGTGGTTCTCAACCTTCCTAACGCCGTGACCCTTTAATACAGTTCCTCATGTTGTGGTGACCCCCAACCATAAAATTATTTACCCAGTAATTATAATTCATGAGTGTCGTTTTACCTCCAATACTGCTGCTTTCAACACAGTAGCTGCTTTTAACAGAGAAGCTGCTTTCAACACAGCAGCTGCTTTCTACACAGTAGTTGCTCTTTACACATTGGAAATATGTGTTTTCTGATGGTCTTAGGGGACCCCTGTGAAAGGGGTCGGGTACCATCCATTTTGGCTAACAGGTTTTTGAATTGATCTGCTTGAGGCTCTTGACACTCAGTAAAATCTTTACAGACATTCCAGTAAGCTTCACAGAGCATATGTAGCACATGTTCAGTGAACATCCACCTTACAGACACTGCCGAAAAAACTGAGTACTTCCTGTGTAGGAGGGGTTATATGGGGGAGGACTTCCTGTTTGATTGGTCGGCCAGTGTCCATTCACCTATAGGTGGAATATAACCACATAGTCATTATTATGGCCTGCTCTGTGTCCTGTGATGTACGAGAAAGAAACATGCAGTGTGTCTGAGAAAGGTCTATTATATTGCAACACAGCTCTGCATTACAATTAAAGTGTTACTAAACCCACAACAGTAAAATCAGTCTGTATATGCAGTAAAGCATGCTTGATATACTCACTGTGGAACCTAACATTTTAATCCTCTGCACTGTGTAAAAAGGATGTTTGATCCTGTCTTCTTTAATCCTCCCCTTTTTCTACAGTCCCCAATCCATCTACGGATAGAACAGAGCCTCAGGGACACTCTGTACATGCTCAGTTTGGTGTATATTGCTACAGAGTTTTTTCTTTTTCTTGGGAGGGTGCATGTGATCAGCACAGGGCCAACCAGCACTGTACAGAGACAGAGGGTCAGGGGTCATAAAATCTCATAGGACAGTGAGAGGAGAATGAAAAATCCTCCTACAAGCTTTAACCAGTGCTCAGCTGGACACTGATAGAAGTCACAAGACTGCGCTAACTGCTGATGAGAAAAGGTATTTAGCATGTTCTGTGTACTGTGGGAGACCAGATATAGTGAATGCAGGGTCCTGGGTTTAGTAACACTTTAAGAAAAGTAAGAATTGTTCACCATTGAATTACCTGTCTAAATCAGGGCTTAAAGGAGAAAGTGTTAATCTTGAGTGGGTTGTATTGTTCTTCCTATTGTTACTGACTGCTCTATCAATCTGTCCAATGTCCAGATGCAGACGAACACCTCCAAATGTCTCTGGTTCCACTCCATATTCTAAGATATCATTCTAGAAAGATGAAACATTTCTGTTATTTTTCACAGTACAATAAAGCACTCTAATTTTGCAAATTCCCTAAAATAATTTAGACACAGACATTTGCAATTTGAAGTTGAAATGAAATTATACTGTATGTAAAACTCCCCATAATTCCTTTATATCATAAGCAAATTGTAACTATGACACCACAAATCAAAGCTTACCTTCCTACCAGGCGGCTGCTGCAGCCCCATACAGGTACTGGTTGCTTTTGTTTACTTTAATGGGAAGTCCGTTGAATACTAAATCAACTGCTTTACAGCAGAATATTATAATATAATATTATGTATTATATTATAATTAATATTATGCATTATGTATAATTAATAAAGGCAACCAATGCCCTAAAGGGGTGTAAGAACTCGTCTAGGACCCTCTAATTACAAACGCTGAATTGGGACCAGGTGGATGTCTCAACAAAGGATCTTCTATGAAAATGAGGTGTGTGCATGGTCTGGGGACAACCAAAAGCGTCTTGGAGTTGTACACTTTGTTTGCAGACCGAGGTTCCAAACTTTCCTACCAAATAGCCTAGGAGTCAGACCTGGGTGAGGTTATAGAGGAGGACATATGGTCCCAATGGTCAACCATGGTGCACAGAGGAATTCTCAATACTTTCCTGGTGGAGGCAAAATATAAAGTGTTGTCCTGTTGGTATCTTGTCCCATCACGCTGGCTAAAATCTACTCTGGGTAAAGTTATAGAGGAGGATGTATGGTCCCAATGGGAATTCTCAATACTTCTCTGGTGGAGGCAAACTATAAAATGTTGTCCCACTGGTATCTTGTCTGGGCATGACTGGCAAAAATCTACCCTGATGTCTAGCCCCTCTGTTTCAGGGGGTGTGGACAGGAAGGTAATATGCTCCATGTCTGGTGGTCCTGCACGAAGGCCCAACAATTCTGGACTAGGATATTTAATCTTCTCTACTCAGTGACTGAGGTAAATGTTCCCAAAAATGTTAAGACAGCATAGTTTACTGACCTATCGGGCGTGAACCCCATACATCTCCAAACCCTCACATTTTTTAAAATCTTTTTAGCAGCAGAAATAAATTAACCTTGTGCCAGTCAAATACTAAATACCTTGGATTATGATTTTTGAACAATTGGCTAGTATCTTCCAGAACAACTTAGGTTTGAAAAAGTCTGGAATCCCTGGATTAGATATCTCCGATCGCTTGGCGTTGGATGTCTGAGACATGGAGACCCCCCTCTCACTTTTCCTCTTTCTTCCTGATTTTTTTTTTTCTGTTCTCCTTTTCAGTTTCCCTACTAATTTTCTATGGATGCTTCAGTGCAGGCTCTAGAGCCCTTCCTAGGCTGGACTGCATATGGTAGCACGGGACTCTCTTTTATAGAACTGGGAACTTTGCCCAGTTTTATAATATCTGTTTTCATTGCCTTTCTGTAATAATACAAGCATTGCAGATCTGCAGTATGCCTTGTGGTAATATGATCTCCAACTGTTCATAGCATTTGGATATCCCTAACCATTGTTCTTTATACCTTTTGCATGCTAACATCCTTCCCTCTACAGTGCATTTGGCTGAGGACTACTACTTCTACTTCGTTTAGGTATTGTACAATAGGATGAGCTGGTTTTGTTATTGCTTGATATGGCACCAGTACTTGACATTTAACCATACGTGCTGTATTTGTACTTTAATACTTTAAAACCTAAACTTCTTTAATGAAAACTAATTGGAAAACACCTTGTCTATGGTCTATTATTAGCTGTTCATATGTGGTGAGAAGGTGAACGGGGGTGCTGGGGGCTTTGGGGAAATCGTACACATAATTGTGGATTCTGGCATTGATTCTTTCCACAAGATCCAATGAGCTGCAAATTCCCTCATGTGTAATTATTAAAGCCACCCAGAAGAAGATCAAGGACTTTCTGCAGGGGACAACAGTGAATTGAAGGCAAATATTCAGCAAAAGATACTTTTTCAGTATTATAATTTTTTATTTTTTTATAACCTGGGGTTTTATTATTTAGAAACTAATTCATTCAGATGTAGTTAAGCAACTGACATTTTTGGAAGAACAGCACTGGGAACCCTCATATATACTCAGCTGGCTTCTTACACAGTGATGAGTACACTTTAAGTTTAGTCTGAGTACAGTTCTTTAATCAAACCTTATTCAATGTTATTTTCAGCAAGCCTAAGCATTTTTCATCTCATTTTCACTGTAACAGCATTGTGTAAGAAGCCAGCTGAGTATATAAACAGGTTACATATTTCTCTACAGGGAAAATACTGTGTTATTGTAATGAGCCTTGTAAGCAATATAAACATAATATATCTCATATGAGAAATGTGAGACAACACTTCACTTTATAGACTGCAATGTCTTAAAACATTTTACAAGTTTAAATAGATTTTGCCCATTTTTTGCTGAAAATACATATTGGTGTGTGAGGGGAGTCACTTTGGGTGGGGGGCCCATGGAACCCAGCTCAATTTGGAGAGGTGGGGAGACCCCTGTCTCAGCTCCCCATATCCCTCTTATGTGTAAATCACCCTGTGTCTGTTAGGGGTA